TCTAAGTTCGACTAGAAACCCTTACATGTCGTTTTTAAAAAAATACCGAAAGATTAACCGAACCGTACCGATACTGAAGAGAAAACGAGATGATTGGGACGATTTCGAAAAGTCTAATTTTGATTATACAAAATGAAATAACCGAAAAATTGATATGGTATAAATTTTATAAAATAACCGATTGAACCGAACCATTAACACCCCTAGTCACGCTATTTCAATTTATGTGACGTTTGACTCGTCACAAAATCTAAAAAAGTTTTTTTTTTTAAATTTATAATTTTAAACATGTCATAATAGTTGTATTATTATAACGCTTTTGAAATTTATAATTTTAAATATACAATAATATTTGCATTATTATAAGACTTTCAAAAATTTGTAATTTTAAATATACAATAACGTTTGCATATAAGACTTTTGAAAGCTTCGCCGTACGTGCAATACTGAAAGTTTAAATTATTTTAAAATATAAAATATATCACTTTCCAAAACAAATTAATAGAAAAATAATATCGCAAGAATGGACTATAGAGTATATATTTTCTAGATGTGCTACTATCTAAAATCATAGAAAAGATCATATAAAAACCGAACAAAGAAAACGGTGCAAAAATAAATAAATCTTATGCCCATTATTAGGACGAACATTACCGCCCAAATTAGGCATGGTACATAACCAAATAAATCTGAGAATCCATTCCTTTCCTAAAAGAAAATCATATCATGTTTATGGGTGAGAGTAATATACCTCAATCCCAAGAGAATCATTTGGTTTTAGCCTCCAATAATTATTTTTCCTAGTCTAATAATAGACCCCAAAAAGTCATTCGAATTTTATTATTTTAAAATGGAAAATAATAAAAACTAAAAAAATTGTACCCCACATGGACTGTATATTAGTACAGGTACACTAAACGTCCAAATCTTGTCTTTACTGTGTCCACTTCAGTAGTAGTCTTCTCTCCCGCTTTTGCTTTACTTTCTCGTTACCCTTTTTTCTCTTTTTACTCACTCTCTGTTTACTTCAATTCAGACCAAAAAGAGTCACTATTATTCAATTTTGTGCTGACCCTTTTTAAGTAATTAACCAAAAGGAAGAAGAAGAAGTGGTAGAGATTATTATGGAGTGGGAAAAGCAGCAGCTACCGCAGCAGCCACCGCAGACGGCAGAGGAAATGGGAGGAGGAGGAGGGGGTGGTGGGATGTTTGTGAAAGTGATGACTGATGAGCAAATGGAAGTTCTAAGGAAGCAAATAGCAGTATATGCTACCATTTGTGAACAGCTTGTTGATTTGCACAAATCCATGGCTTCCCAACATGATCTTGCTGGTCCCCCTTTTCTCTCTCTCTCTCTCTCTCCAATTATTGTCCTGTTTTGATATAGGTTTCTTTTCACAATTATAGTGGTGATATAATTGGACCCTTCTCTGTCATTCTCTAAAAAATGGATCAGATTTTGTATCTTTAGCTGCCCATTTTGTTTTCTGGTCTTCTCTTCTCTCTTCATTTTCTTCTTCATCATCTTCTTCTTTTCTGTTTAGCTCTCTTGTTTATTGGGTATTTTCCCTCTAATAATCGAGTTCAAAAACTTTAACCAAAAATAGAAAAGGGAATCATTTCAAAATTCTTACCTATTCTATCTGCATAATATTTCAAATAGTCCTTTAACTTAAATGGCCCAAAAATTTTTAGCCTCTTGGCTCGTTCCTTTTGGTATAAAATTTCATTTTATTGATTCCTTATGCTTTCAAAGTTTGAAACATCTTACCTTTTGGTATAGAATCTCATTTGATTCATTATTTTTATTCAGAATCTTCCTTTCCAAATTTAATCCTTAATGTTTTTACTCCAATATTTCCTTCGTCCAATATAGTACTATAATATCTTTGAGACCTGAAAACTTCTCTGGACTAAGAAAGAAAGAAATGAAAATTAATCTTCATTTCTTAGATTTGTTATTTTAGATGCAGTTATGGGTAATAAAGTCATCCACTACATTTGATTCACTCCTTCAAAATGACCAGGTCAATAAACCCTGGCTCTTATAATGGAAGTTCTGAAAAAGAATTAAACTGAAATCTTGATGGATTATAATGATCAATGATTGTATGCTGAAATCTTAATGTATTGCATTGATCAATGACTATATTTAGGTGTATTTCACATACTTCAGAGTTCATATTTTTAAGAGTGGTTCAACGGCAACAACATAATAAGCTCCTCCTTAAGAGTGGTTCAAATTTGTATATGGCAAACATTTTTTATGCCATTTCCATGGTACAAGAAATTATTTGTTCTGTTCAAATTCACAGTGAATGATAGTATTCGTGGTGTCATTGGGTTATTTGAGTGCTTTGCTTTGACAATCATGCTAAAGAAGCAAATTATGCATAAAAATGACTTATTAAATGGGACGCGCTTTTCAAGAAAGACTGATCACTCGATCTGCTTTTCTAGAAGCTGTTGATGATTCATTTTTCAGTTAGACTTATTATATTGTGCAAAGCATCCATATCTTTGAATTGCTGCTTCTGCATGGTCTACTAAGAAATATATCTGTATGAATTCCCACACGTTTCTAACAACTTTCTGAATTAGAATTCATCTTTACCTTCTATCTCAGGAGTCAGGCTGGGAAATCTGTATTGCGATCCGCTGGTGACATCTGCTGGCCATAAAATCACTGGCAGACAACGCTGGACTCCAACACCTATGCAACTTCAGATTCTTGAGCGCATCTTTGACCAAGGCAATGGAACTCCAAGCAAACAGAAGATCAAGGAGATAACCTCTGATTTATCTCAACATGGCCAAATTTCTGAAACAAATGTGTATAATTGGTTTCAAAATAGGCGTGCTCGATCAAAAAGGAAGCAACAGGTTGCTACAACAAACAACACTGAATCGGAGGTGGAGACAGAGGTTGAGTCATCCAATGAGAAGAAAACGAGGCCAGAGGATCTACAGTCTCCTCACATGCCAACTTCAAGGGCTGAAGATGTTGGCTATCAGAACCCTGAAGTGAGCTCTGGGATGCATTCGTTAGATCCACGAACCAGTAAACCCGAGCCTGTGTTTCCATCAGAGGGTACTTCAAAACCTGCTGGAAGTTATGGCGAAATGTCCTTCTATGGAATGTCTAATCCAAGTATGTTTCTTCTATTTCCTATAACATCATTTTTTTTTACCAGTCTGCCACTGTATGCTAAATATCCTCTGTAGATATAAACAAAGGGTGCAGTGCTGTTTAAATTCTAAATATCCATGCGATAGTTAAACTAGCTTCCAGGTTCAAATTCTGCATTAGTTAATAATAGTTTCTGCGCTCATTTGATCCTTCACGAAGATAGGAGAACATTTGGAGACATGCACATTTTAAGCTAGTCCACTTCTCGTGGAATTAATGCATCATATCCGTAATAGTCACCAATTGAAGCACACTTGATTAAAAGAATGCGACAATCCCTTACCCATTAACTCTTCTGTAGGCCTAGAAAGCATAAAACTTGTTTTTCGACAGTGGTGTTCCAAACTCAATCACCAGAAATAAGAGCAAAATGGCAATTAATGAAAGCGGAATGGTTATTTCGTGACCCTATGTAGCTGATCTGTAATTCCGTTCTTTATGTGATAAAAATGGATATGCAGGAATGGACCAGCTAATGGGAAAGATGGAAGTACCAGGGAGCTATCATCCATATCTACATGCAGAAGACTACAACATGACCGGCTAACAACCAATTTGGAAACAGGGTTTCATGAGAAATTTTAAATTGAAACTAGAAGCCACAAACTCTTTCTCATCTTACCATTAGCCATTGATCGATGATTATATTGCACAACATCTTTGTGTATGGAAATATGTACTTATGGAGCACAACGCTTATAGGAACTATAGTAAATAGTACTATCTCTCAACTTTTGCATTATTTTGGCCCTCTTTAGCAATTCATATTATTTCCCTCAAGGTTGGCTGCTTGTAGATTAGAACTATGGTGTTGTGAATTTGTTTAGAAATGTCTTTGTGTTTTCTCCATTTGCTTTGTAAGTTTTACATTTGAAGTGATTGTGCATGAAAAGAGGGCTGGGAACTTTCTTGTGAGCGAAGATTGTTTCTCACTGTTCAACTCGTTATACAGATTTTTATTATTTAAACACATTACTGGAGCTTTTTTTCTTTAACAAAAAAGGTTTTTGACTTTTGGTCCTTTGTAATGACACATTCACACTTTCCTTATGTAGTGTATGGCTTTAATTTAAGCAAAGCATTTTGTTTTGACTTTTTGGCAGTATATCAATTTACCAATTTGAGGCTTATATTAGGTGTATAAAGTCCTAGGTCCAATTTGCACAATATTATGGCTCTAAGACTATCCTGAAAATATCAGCCATCTTAATGATTTATTTCATCTTCTTTTAAGAAAATCAGAGGGGTATGGAATTCCAGTCGGATATTGAAGGCTCTTCAGATGTAAATAGGAAATTCCGTTATATTTAAGGCTATTGGTTCGAGAATCTCTCGACGCACAATATTTTCGAAAAATATTTATTCCTACTAGTCTACTAGATATATGTACCAAACCAAATAATATTTTTACACCGATTCATCCAAGTTAACTATAGTCAAGTGATAAGTTGATGTGAGAATTTGTATAATTCATTATAATTTAGTGATAATAATGCATGTAAATACGTGTTATGTATTTATTTGATTGGTGCAAATACAAAGTGTAAGTGTTACAAATAAAGTAAGAGTGCAGAATAATTAATCAATGTATAAGCTACAAATATTTATTGTAACACATGGCATGTATGTAAAGATAGAACATGTGAACTTTTTTCCAATACAAATGAGCTATGATCTATTATCAAAGAGAGCAAAGTGAGTATACACATTATTCTTTTAACAGATAAATGAATTTTTTTCACTTGCCTAAGTATTCGTAAGCAGAGTTATTCATATTTGTGTCAGTAAAAAATAACAAATAAATCCAGTATTTTAGTCGAAATACACGCCGGGCACTATCTTAATTTACTAAAAGCAAAAAAGAATTCACTCAGGATGAGTTTCAGCCTTTGATGACATAAATCATAAGAATTACTCAACAGACTAAAAACATCTGATTCATGCAACTATTTAGCAGCTCGAGTTGTAGGAGCGTAGCTGGCTGGCTCCAGTGTAACTAGGGTGAGGAGCAGTAAAACAGATGTGAATGGAAGTTTTATATGTTCAGGAGATTTGTAATACCGGTTAATAGGGGAGGGTTGGGATGGAAATGGAACATACAAACTTAACCATGCGAGCAATGGGATATCATTTCTTCACGTTCTGTACACATGACAAATGGGGTTACTCTGGTTTTACATGGAAACTGTACAATCCATTCCTTTTCCTAGTTTTGTTCCAGTGTGTGTATGTGTGTGTGTGTGAGATAGAGAGAGCTGCCAATGGGACCAGTGTTACAAATTTAGTATGTACATTCATAGAGTTATCATTAGATACCTTCATATATCGATCAGTATTAATACACCGCCCTCCAGATCCGGATCATCCTCCATTGTGATGGGTGCAGACTGGATATCTTCAACGCAAAATTATTGCTTGATAGGTATCCAGAACCAAATTAGGTATTTTCACGAGAGCCTTTTGACACTAGGATACGGCTGTTCTTAGTCGCTTCGCTGCACGCTCTAAGCTGATTTCATGCCGATGTAACTCATGCCATGCCTCAGATGAACCCCTACCACACGAACCTAACTTGGCAATCTGCTCATGCAGAGCATCCAAGTTGACAAGAGGGACGGTTGTTGGTCGCCCATGAGCACACTAGCAAACGAAAACATAATGCAGTCATTAGTAATATGGAATTCCTCTCTTAAAACACACCCATTCACTGCAGATCCAAAACAAATCCGTGTATATATCTCCTGAAATGCAATTTTCCACTCACTTGAAAACACAACGAAGTCTGCTTCAACTCCTCAACAATGAGAGAACATTCTGAAGGTAACAATGCATCTCCAAACATAATTGCACCTATGAAAAAATAAATAAATAGAATGGTGACATCAGGAATCAATAATCAATCAACCAAACAAGCTTCAAACCAGAATTAGTTTGTCAGCTAAATTGATCCTCTCTATATGTTCCACTCTATCCATGTCATAATTATCATTCCAAATTCGAATACTTGATAAAAAACCATGACATCAGGAATATTAAAGAAAAATATCCTAAACCAACTAATTGTGGTTCTAATTCCTTTTCTTTTTCTTGGGGTGTGGTGGAGGCAAAGAAAGCATCAGGCAGCCCTTAATTTATAAAGTAGATATTTAACTTACTCCTGCAAGCCTTGCTGTTCAGGACCCGATTCACTGATGGGGGTATTATAGATGATCCATCTGTATCAGCAAGCTAAGGGTTGCAAACACATTGTTCAGAAAGCATGACACGGCATTTAAGCAAGAACGTAAGTAAGATACCAAACGAGAACGTTAAATTAGAGTTGAAAAGAGTGAAATATGACAATTAGTTAATGATATCCACAAGTGTCTGCAAGCCTATCGAAGCCTACGCTACTTATTGATTATCAAAAAGCGACCTCCCACCCCACCCCCAAATCTTCATTGGACTAACCTGTTGAAGAAATTCTAACAGATCCACATCAGTTAGATTAACGCCCAAAATACAAGGAACCTGTATTGTCAACAACAACAACTACGCCTCAGAAACAATTACTTTTAATGAAGCACGTGCAAAAGAACTGGTTAACTAATACATTTCTTAAAACCATGAAAGAGATCATGAATGGTTTTCCAGAGCAAGTTGAAGCAATTCAATCTTCAAGGCCTTATATTCAGAAAGAGAGAACCTCTAGCATTTTTCATAAGGCAAGTAAAAAGAGAGAACCTCTAGCATTGTCTTCTCACTGACGGAGTGATGGTATTACAATAAAAGAGCTCTTTCCTTGAAAGTTATACTTCACATATCACTCTCTGTATCCAACCCAATTAAATAATTGGATAAGTTATACACTGAACGCCCCTATAATATCACTCAGTTTCGGACACAGCCCCTGTATTTATAAATCAAACACTTATAACACTTGCCTTAAATTTGGTTTATGTAAGGCCCCGTAAAATTTGTAAAGGAATTTAAGGTTTCGTGGTGCCGAAGTAGGCTTAAAGGAAAATTTTGGGCAGAAAAATACATCTCTGCAGCCCACTAAGCGGTCGCATAATCACTCTACGGACCACATAATGGCCGCAGAGTGAAGCAACTTAGGCAAGTTTGGAGAGCAGATTTGTGGTGCATTATGCGATTGCAAACCAGTTCTGCGATGCATTATGCGACCGCAGAACAGGTCTGCGGGCCACATAATGACCGCAGACTGGGTCAGTTTTGCCCAGTTCCGGAGAGCAATTATGCGGTCGCATATGCGACCGCAGATCCTGTTCCGGAGCTTCATTTTTTGAATTTTTATAACCCGACCCTACTTCGCTAAATAGACTATATGTGCCATCTTTTGAGCAAAAACCTGATATTTTGAGGGTTAGAGAATGCCCTAAAGTGAGAGAGAGTTCTTCAACAATTTGTTCTTCAATTCTTGCTCGAATCTTGGAAGATTATCAAGGAAAGCACATTAGGTCTTCCATCCTAAAGGTAAAATTCTACACCCTAAACCTCAATTTCGAAATTTAACTAGGAATGGATAATTGGTAAGATAATTTTTGGGTATAGGAGTTGTTTATTTTGCATGCATGTGTTATCAAGAGATGTAGGAAAATTGTTGAGCTAAAATGGTAAAGAATGGGTTGTGGGATGATAGGATCCTCCATGAAAGGGCCTTGAAACCTTAATGCACACCTAGTATTTGATAAAATGCTCAAAGGAGCTAGAACCATGAGTATCTTCCTAATTTTGTTTAAATTTGTTACATTTCTACAATAGATTGAAGTTGCTAAGATTTTCGGAACATTTTAGAGTTTAAGGAAGCTAAGTGAGGTATATTAGCTAAACTCTTCTCTTAGAATTGAACCCCGCAATGTCCTTGTAAGTCTCGTGATGCCCTTTATAAATTGAATTTCTATCAAATAAGCCTTGTGTCGAAATAATTATGTGTTCAATGTGTATTCCAAAGATTCTTGTTATGTTAAGTTAATGTTTGAGGATGTGGTTTAAGTATAGGTTGTGTGTTACTATGTTATGATTTGAAAGCGTGAATTCTTATGAAAGCCACCATGTCAATTGTGTAATAAGTCATATGTGCCTAAGACCCTAATTTTCTCAAGGATGTGATTAAAGTTTTTAATGTTGAAAGGCCTTGTTGTTGATTATTCATGATAACGATTGAAAATGGGATAATGAGCTGAATTATGAAGTATGGCCAATGTGCCAAGAATGATATTGTGTTATGGCCAATGATGTTAATAAAATGAATGACATGTAAAGGAATATGAATTGAGTGGTAAATACTTTTAATAACAAATGCTTTGGGAGTATCGATTAGCCACCAAGGAAGGGTAGGTCGGAACAACCTAACCCCGAAACTACATGTGCCGGTGTAGGAGTGATTGAAGGGTAAATCCCCGTGTTAATGTGATGAGACTGTTTCCCCTTAAATGGGATGAGATTATTGCTAGCTAGATGTGATGTAATGTCAACCCACACGGCATTGTGGTAAGACGGCTTAGCCGATCGGGCTGAGATCGGACGCCATGCCGCGCACATGGTGGTATTGTGAGTGTATGTCTCGGGGTGAGACGGCTTAGCCGGTCGGGCTGAGATCGGACTCCGTGCTAAAACACGGTGGTATATCGGTGCTAAAGATCTCCCAACTTAAATTACCGAAACCTACGTGAAATTTACGTTTCCCCTAATGTGGCACTTTGATACCGTTTGAGTATCTTTTTGATATCATGTTTATTCTTCGTTTACTGTTGCTCGTTCTATTGAGAGGGTGTTTAGTTTTACATACTAGTACTATTCCATATGTACTAACGTCCCTTTTGCCGGGGGCGCTGCATCTTTAATGGATGTAGGTGGTTCCATAACATGTGGTATTGATCAGTGATAGCAGCACACCCTCTCTTTAGCTGATTTGGTGAGCCCCACTTTATTTCGGGGTCATGTATCTTCTATTCTTTGTAGATAGCATTTTAAGGTATAGCCGGGGCCTTGTTGCCGGCATTGTCATAGCACTCTTATGTTCCTGTTAGAGGCTCCGTAGACATAGTGTGGGTTGTACCTGTTTTTGGGAAAGTTAAACTAAAAATGTTGTAATGGTATCATTTGTTCCACTTTAACTATGATTGTAAAACGTACTGTTTTGAAGACTTGTTAATGACGTAACCAATGAAAATAAACCGGTGTTGTTCACTTGAATCTTATTGACTTACTAATAAAATGTATTCTTCTCCTCATGTGCGGGTGAGTTGGGTAGACTGCACTGTGCAGGCTTGCTCGACCGAGGTAATTCTGTTGAGCGCCGGTCGCGCTCCCCGAGGTCGGGGCGTGACAGTTTAACACTGTTAACAATAGTGAGTTAAAAAGACCAAAATAACCCCATTGCAGCCCTATACTGATTTATCATATCTATGATTGTGTTGATGATGAAGTAGCTGGCGGTCCAAACTCCGGCGAACTTTCAGTGCAAACTCCGCCGCGTAAAGTGGTGGTGATCTCCGCCGGGAACTCTTCGCTCGTCTTCAAAACGTCGGGTTTCAGTCTCACTTGCTTTGTTGAATCAATCCGATTACGTACGGTTGCTGATTTCAGGAGCAACTTTTCATTCTTGATTCCTAAGTCAAAACATCAATTAGGAAGATTTCAATTCGAGTTCTCCCTGAAGCCGCCATTATTGCTTCCCCTTGTCCGTTTGCAATCCAGGTTCTACTGTTCCTCTCTTGTCTTGATATTTTAATAGTTTGATATTTTAGCGTAATTGTATCTCCTTGTCTGCCTATTTTGTTCTTGAATCTTTAGTTAGTATTTGCCCTAGTATTGTCAAATTAATTGCATTAGTGATAGCTTTGCCTACGTGTTTATACTGTTATCTACCTATTTACATCTTTATTTTGAATCTTTTTATTTTGGATCTTTATTGCACATTTTCTTGTGACCTTTAGTTGTAGATTATAGCCCCTTTAGCTCTTGTATTGTATTTCTTCACCTATTTTTTCTATTCTTTAGCAGTGTTGTGAAGAGCGTGAAGCGAGGAAAAGCTACAATCCCCATTTCGCCTAAAGCGAGAAGCGAAGCACTCGCTTTTTTGAAGTGAAGCGGAATTTTTAAAAAAATTAAAATAAATACTGCATAGACAACACATGTAATTATAAGCAAATGTTCAATACTTCAATGTAAAGGATATAAAAATTAGAGGAAGGGCAGTTTTTCTCTGTTAAAAACTGGGCAGAGAAATAAGAACCCAAGGATTGGCATCAATTCTGAGAAAGAACCGAAGGTTAAAAAAAAAATCGCGAGCATCTCGCTGTATTTAGACGTTGAAACAGTGAAAGAAGAAGAAGAAGGAGGAGGAGGAAAATCAGAACATACCTATTGTTGTTGAAGACTTGAACTTGAAGTTGAAGTTGAGAAGAAGAACCCCAGTCTAATGCTCTCAGATGCTCTGCTTTAAAACCCTAATCGTTGTTCATTTAATAAAAGACAGAACAGTTTCGTTTTTAATTAAATAGCCTGGGTCTGTTTAAAAACAAAGAAGCGGTCGCTTCCTTCGCATCGCATCGCATCGCTTGGTCGCTTCTCGCTTTTTAGTGGGAAGCGGTCGCTTTTTTATACCTGAGTCGCTTCACCCATGTGAAGCGGGCACTGAGTCGCTTCGCATCGCTTCTCGCTTAAAGCGAGCGCTTTTTTAATCATTGTTCTTTAGTTGTAGATTATAGTTCGTTTAGTTCCTTTGTTTTATTTCTTCACCTGTTTGTCTGACCTTTAGTTGAGATTATAGTTCCCGTTAGTTACTTTATTTTATTTCTTCACCTGTATTGCGATCTTTAGTGGTAGATTATATTTCGGTAATTCATTTTATTTTTGTCGTTTGTTTTCGGGATAGTGCTTGCGTAGTGACTCGTATATTATAGTGGCTTTGGTGAACAATGGTACGATAAGGTCTTGTCCTCGGGGTTGTCAGCGGGAGATGGGGTGCGGGGTAAGGGGGTAAGAAGGCTAAGGGAGCTACTAGGCGGAGAGTGAGGTCTTGGAACATAGGAACTTTGACTGAAAAATCTGTAGAGTTAGCGAAGATTCTCGAGAAAAGGAAAATTTATATAGTTTGTGTACAGGAGACTAGGTGGGTAAGGGATAAGGTCCGAGATGTGGGCAGTTTCAAACTTTGATATTCTGGGAGGGTGGGGGCAGGAACGGGGTAGGTATCTAGTTGATAAGGACCTCCGTGAACTAGTGGTGGAGGTTAGGAGGGTGAATGGCAGGCTGATGACTATTAAACTAGTTGTTGGAGGTTTTACTTTGAACATAATCAGTGCGTATGCACCCCAAACAGGCTTGGATGAGGAAGTCAAGAGGCGTTTCTGGGAGGATTTGGATGAGATGGTGTGTGGTATCCCGCATACCGAGAAGCTTTTCATAGGAGGAGATTTCAACGGCCACATTGGAGCGACGTCTGGGGGTTATGATGATGTGCATGGTGGCTTTGGTTTTGGAGATAGAAATGGAGGAGGAACATCTTTGCTGGACTTTGCTAGAGCATTTGATTTGGTGATAGCAAACTCGAGTTTCCCGAAGAAGAGGTAGCACTTGGTCACCTTCCGGAGTTCGGTGGCCAAGACTCAATCTGATTATTTACTCTGCAGGAAGTTCGATAGAGGTCTTTGCATGTATTGCAAGGTCATCCCGAGTGACAACCTCTCGACCCTTCATAGGCTCCTGGTCATGGACCTTGAGATCATGAGGAAGAGGAGGAAGAGGAGGAAGAGGGCGATATATAGCCAACATAGGATCAAGTGGGGAGCCTTGACGGAAGCTAAAGCGCAGGAGTTGGGGGTCAAGCTGGTGACTATGGGGGCTTGGAGTAGTAGTGGGGACGCAAGCGCTATGTGGACCACGACTGCGCAGTACATTAGGGAAGCCGCGAGAGAGGTATTAGGGGTCTCAAAGGGTTACTCTGATGGTCACAAGGGAGACTGGTGGTGGAATGGAGAGATGCAAGGAAAAGTGAAAACCAAGAAAGCAGCGTATCTGAAGCTAGTAGAAAGTGTAGACGAGGAGGAGAAGAGGGCGAATAGGGAGCATTATAAGTTGGCTAAGAAAGAGGCAAAGCTAGCAATTATGGCAGCCAAGACTGCAGCTTTTGATCGTTTGTATGAGGAACTCGAGGGCCAAGGTGGGTGTAAGAGGTTGTTCAGGTTAGCCAAGGCGCGAGAAAGGAAGGCGCGCGACTTGGACCAAGTGAAGTGCATCAAGGACGAAGAAGGTAGAGTTTTGTTAGATGAGGGGCTTATCCGTCGGAGATGGCAGACCTACTTCCATAGTCTCTTGAACGAAGAGAGGGACAAAAGCATTGTACTGGGTGATTTGGAATTCTCTGGGAGTCGCTGTGACTTTGGGTATTGTAGGCGGATTAGAGTTGATGAAGTTGAGGGGGCTATGCGTAAGATG